TGAGAGAAACACAGCGAGACGTTCCTGCCCGTTGCTCTCTGTAAAATATAAGGTCAAATGAAACCGTGAGATGCAAAAGACATCTCTGTTTACTTTTATAGGCGTGATACTGCACGTGAAGGTTTCTAAAAGGGATTTAAAGTTACAGGCGACTACGTGCGTTTTTTAACTTGATTTTACATGCTTTTTTTCATCCTGAGGGTGTCGTTCATCTCCATTTATCTCAGGAATGGCAAGGTACCATAGTATTGTGAAGTCGTTTCACCGTACAGGCCACGTGACTCTGTAGACTTTCATCCAAGCATTCTACCTCCTTTGAAAGGTAAAATAAGATAATAGCAATCAGTCACTCTATCAATCGCTGTTGTGACTTTTTTAAAATTTGTCATACAGTTGACCAACATCTTACCAGTGTCTCAAGGTCGATGACAGCTATCTGTCCGTCCAACTTGACGGAGATTTGGTCTCCTTTTGTGGTTCTTGTCACAGCATCCTCGCCGTAAGTGCCGCTTAAAAGCCTCATCAGTCTGTTGGATAAAAGGAGAGCCGGTGGCGAGTAAATGAAAAAATTCTTTGATCACTCAGTGACCTGAAGAGTGTGTAGGGTGCTTGTTTGCAAAGAGAGGAAGTTTGGGCGTTGGCGGGGACTTGTCAATTCCAATGAATTAACTTTGACATCTAGACGTAAACTGAGATCCCCTTTCCAGATGCTAATGTTTAGACCAGGAGTCCCACCCACTTCTCCCTCTCTCTTTCTCCTCGTTCCTTCTCATACATGGACTGAGTGAATGGCCTGCCGAGCCACGAGATCATTGGTAACCTGAGGTTCTGAGGTTTGATTCCTGATTGGAGGCTAAACTCTCTGGCGATAAGTCCAAGATAGTAAGCTAGCCATTAGTGACAGGTCACTTTAAGGTCTGGTTGTCCATTCGTGTGAATTATATAAGAGACTTTGTCCTACCAACTTATGTTACAGTTGGTATCGGTAGTGGTCAGGGCGAGGAAAACAATACCTCTAAGTTAATCTGAGGCTGAAGCGGTGGGGTAATCAACAGTTATCTAATCATTAACATAACGACGTTCAAGTATCCTCAGCTTTTGCAACTGCCTCAGAGTCATTTCAATCAACAAATCTTATTTCGTAGAAACTCAATTCCGGGGACAATCTTAAGACTAAATATACCATTCCTTTCATGGAGATTTCTCTCCAAGGCAACAAACACAGATTAAATGAGCCTTTTTTCAGTGGTCAAAAAAAATGGCCTCTTGGTTGGAGGCGTCCCCAGAATAAAGGTGTATCACTCCAAAGAGAGGACCACCTGTATTTCTAGAAAGGGCAAATCTAAGATAAGGAGAAACGAAAACAGAAACAGAAAGACAAACAAAAATACCTTTCTGGAAACTGGCTTATATCTGGCTTCTTAGCACGAGCAGCTGTCGAAACAAAGAGTCAAAGGGAAGTTGGTTGATGATCAATGGAAAATTCGTGACAACATTCAGAGCTATCGACACCAACTGATTAAAATTAGCATAAAGTAAACTGCGCTCTAACAAAAATGCTGCAATCTGATTGGTTGTGCTATTTTCTACCAACACCGCGATAGATCGTGTGTAAAGTGAGTACCCAAATATTGTGTGGTGTTATAAATATGAAATAAAAACATGAGCTTGTACCTGTCGACGAGTATATTTACACTAAAACAATTACATAATACGCTCTCGGTTTCCAGGCGAAATAGGTAGTCTGGGCTTCGCTTTCATCAATTATCATGTGATAGAATATCGAGTTCGTAACCTAATTGTCAAATATGGAAGAGGGCCTAAAAAACAGAGGTCAAACTAAGCCTTTCTTACATAGTCTTACAGCCACCAATTGGAAACAAGGAGTTACATGTGTATCACACAGACACACTGAAGATAGAGGCAAACATGCGTTCAGTACAACAGTCCAAGTCAAATCAGTCACCTTGAACAGCTGTGGGATTAGATTCAACTTGTAAAATCACGGCCAGGACAGCATCGGCGTACATGTCGTTCACAGGGTTTGCTATCCACTAAAAGGAAACAAGACTGTCATCAATCGACAGACCTATAACATCCATGGCAATAGCAAGGAAAACGACAAGCTTTCGCCTAAAGAAACGCTAGGAACACAGCGGGAAGTCTCATCTAAGTTAATATAAAGTCACACCGAGAAGAACAAATAGCACTATTGTGTACCTCCACAACAACGCTTCGTTTCTCCTGAACGATTGTGACAGCTTTAAACACTTTCAGGGCGAGTTTGCCTCCCTGTAATGAGAGTTGTTCCACCTCACCAGCTAAGTTCTCCATGCACTGCAGAAGAAGGGAGAAGGCACCGTGGAAAGCCACAGTTTGTTTCTAGAGGAGAAAAGAAAATACAACTAAAAAAATGGTCAGGGCAAACAGAAAATCTCTTTAGAACGTAAGCAGCGGTTATGCAAATCAATCTTGCTTTGCAAAAGGTGCATTTCTACCATTGCAGTGTTCTTCTACTATTTTTTTGCAAATTCTATGTCGTTTTAATAAAGTAATTTCGTTTACCAACAATATTTTTAGCACACTTCTTTGGGAATTATGATGTCAGTACGGTTTGGTTATTTCGATGATCTCGTTCCCAGTTCTCAAAGTATAATGCTGAGTCATGTTAATTTTCATACCTGAGTAAGAACACTCGTGGATAGCTCTGTGTAATCTGTAAAAAAAATAGAAAAAATGAAATCAATGATTGGCAAATGGGGCCAAGCATTATGTAGAGGAACCATAAATATCGAAACTTATCATATTCTCCTAGGTTAATTAGGGCTCGAAGAAAACGTCTTTTAGTAGTCCAAGGCAAACATTACGGGCAAAAGGCTAAGGAAAAGTTTTTTTGTCTGGATTTGGTAGATAAGAGGACAACAGCACACGTAAAGTTGTAATATTCTTGAAATTCTGTTTAAATTCTTAGAGATTGAAGAGCGTGCAACTATTTCCTACAATCCACAGGTAGCTGGTGTCAGATTGCTTTCATCTAAAGTTCTTCAACCTAGCTCTTATTCGTCTTTGCTATGCTTGGTACAGGTAAGTCAATGTGCGAGCAGTCATCAAGGTAAAACTAAAGTATTTCCTCTGATCTTCAAGTATGGAAATTACGAACAATGCAATGCGGCGCGATGCAGTGCGGTGCGACGCTTCACAGCACATTGTCAGCGGACTTACTTTGGAGATCATCTGGTGCAATCAGATGATAATTAAAGCCTCGTTTGATAAGAATTCCCGACAATGGTTTTCCGTGCTCAGGCTTTTCGGCGGCTAAACTTCCCATCACCTGAAAGGGTCGCACGCAGTGTAATATGTCAATTCAAGAAGTGTTCACTATTTCACTCCATATGAGAATAAGACGCGGTCCAAATGTAAATAAGACTTTTAAGCCTTAAAAGAGTTACAGTAAGTGGTCGGAGAAATTCACTCAAGTTTATTCATGCAGTAACACGAAACATTAAATCATGTTTACCTTGGCCATTTTCTCCCCCCGGAAATAGAGCTCTACACTTTGAGTATTAGGGGGGTTATGAACCACCACACTGGCATCCTGTAGATGAAGGTACAAAATAAGAAATAGTCTGAGCACTTTATCTATTGAAAAAGCTAATACTTACAAAACATTGCCCGCGCGTAACTTACTGGATTGTCCTCGTATTCACGAATCAAAGCGGCTTTCAGTCTACCCATTTCGTTCTGTTCACCGTGAACCAGCACCTGAGAAAATATAACAAACTTTTTTGAAGCAATCACAAGACGGTTAAGGTTAATTGTATCCAACCAGTGTATTGAAAACCTTGTCCATAATGCGCTCACGCGTTTGGATTCTTAAAATAAGCAGGGACATTTTTTCCAATCTAGAACTGTGTCAAAATATTCATTTGAACTTGAAATTTCAGCTCGTGCCTTTTGGACCACTTAAATACTTACTTTCTGTGCCTATGAGGGGAGTCATAGGGGAGGGGGAGGGGAATCTTTTTCTTTTCTTAAGTAAGAAGGGTCTACAGGAAACCGAGGCTGAGTTGTTACAACTTGTTTAAATTTCGTGAAACTCTCTACATTTCACTTACAATGTGAGGGGGCTTTAGAATTCGAATGAATTCACTTGTCTGTTCGAAATCCGTGTGAGCTGAGAATGAAATGTAGTCTGCAAATAACAAATCACAGAATCAATTTGTTATTTTTACACTAATGCATGGTCTGAAATTCACTGAAAGGGAATACATTCATTGTTGGGAAACTTCAAATAGACTACATTAAAAGTACCTTGAAAACCAGTCGAAAAAATCAGGAAGAAAAAATATCTCGAGCAACTATATCTCGCCGCGAACAACTCTTACTCTTCTCTCGTGCTCTCCAAAGTTTCTGCGTGCATCCATAGCTCGAAACGCACGCTGAGCATTAACGAATTCTGTAAGAGCGCTTATCAATTAACTCTTTAAAGGCTAATCTCACAGAACTAGGAACAAACCATTAATTCAGGTGTTCATATCACTGGATGCCGACTGGAATTTTAAAGATTATGCATGTCACTACACACAAGTCTTACATATGATTGGCTGATCGCATTGAGGTACAGCCTATTGCATTTCCTCCGAAAAGCCACTGAAAAGTTCTTTACTACCACGAATCACCTCTATCATGACGGAGAGTAGTCGGAACATCATGTAAAAAATTTTAAAAGTTTACTCTTCATGGAAAAAAAGTCTGATACTCGAGGCTTCGTTTCTTCGAAGGAAACTCGAGCTTTTCTTCAAATAGATAGCTTCATGTACCACAAGAAAATATTCTGAGTATTAGAAACACCAGCACTCACCGACAGAACATTTGCGTGGAATCTTTTGTCCTGTCATGGTCGCTATTTCTTCAGGTTCTGACATCAAAGTCTGGTACAAAATGCAAATACATTAAGAATAAACTAATGACAGAGCTCTCAAAACAAGGTAAAGAGATTATGAGTTCTACGAGTGCATCATCGAATCAGGAGTTGGACGCGATTTAATAGCAACTTGGCTCACTTCATTCAAGTTTTAAAGCCGTAATCGAGCCGTTAGCAAGAACACTTATTTATTGACAATGGTTCCTTTCCCGCCCATTTCCCTTTTCCGTTTGTCCGTCCTGCAGGCCTTTGTTGAACTTAAAATGGCTTCATGTTTCCCATAAACAGTTTGCTTGGTCACATAAAACAGTAGTGTAAAAGTGTAAAGGACGTTAACAGGGCACCATACTGAGTAGTTCATTTCATCACAATACCTTGGCTAGTGTCCCCTCTACACAGTAACCAGCTATGATCACACCATTTCGACGATCGGTACACCATTGCTCAAAGAGTTCACGTGACAAGCCACTCTGTGTGAAAAGAAAACCGGTTTGTATTCATGAACAAGAAGTGAATTATAGGGCCGAGGTTTTCTCTCATTGACACAACGCCCATTTTGTGTGCTGCTGCTACTCCTTGATAAGATTTTAATAGTTTATGCAGCTTAAAAACAGAGAAATCAGCGACAAAGAAAACAAATGAAAATATAAAAAGTTTGCTTATTTTTCCGTTAAAAACATTCAGCTATGTCTGGATCTTAACTTTTGTTTCAATCACAAACCTGCATCATTCCAGGACTTGCCATTACAACCGAGGGGCCGATATCATCAAACTGATCAATACCCTAGAAAAAACAATCCAAAAAAAAAATAAACTAACAAACATGCATGCAAACAGCCAAGAAATCAACAAACAAACAGATGATGAACATGTGCTTTGAGTGTTCTATCGTTACTGTAAATACATGGCATTGACATGCACACATGCATACCATCTACAGTACCACCTTACCTTCAGGTTCGATATGTGTTTGAACACAAATGGATTAGAAATGGCGATCTATAAACACAAAAAAGATTTACTTTATTAATCTAGTAAAAAGGAAACGTCCTGATTATATCAGCAAGCATAAAATGAACAACATTTTATCACCATTCAGTTCTTCAATACGACCGTCAAATATGCAGAGTACATAATTGCATTTCAGTGACTTTTTCTAAACCTAAGCCTGGATTGTGAAGCAACGATAATCATCTTACCTGTTTCTTGATTTTCTCATTCATTGCATTGACATATGTTTGGAACACTGCAAATAAAAGCAAATAACGATATGTAAATGTGTAAACCATAACGGCCAATAATTAACCTATACATTTTTGGATCGAAAAGAAATAGCCTTGGTCATTGTCACTGTGCATGTGTCGGAGGACACTTTCCTATCGATACGGCGACCTCAAGGAGTATGGTTCGCATATGGTTTTCTTTTATCTAACTTAGTCTTGGTGACAGTCTCGGTGTCTTACCTCCACTAACATGCCCCCGTCTTCAACGATCGCTTCCTGTCAACGGCAATTTGTTTTGTCCCGGCGGAAAGTCCTTTCGTTTACTCTTAGTTTTAACCCCTTTTTACAACGGTGTTGCACAATACCCGATAAATAGTTCAGACAGACAATCTCCTACAACTCTCTCTCGTTGTTTAAACAGGGCATAGGATGTTTGCAACATTAAATAATATTTCGCACATTCTACAAAATGAAACACTCGCTGTAACCTGATCGTCTCTTCATCTGATGATGGGTTTCCTTGGTATCTTATTCAGCGGCATATTTTCTAGACCACATTGAGTGTTCTATGTACCTACATTCTCCTTTTCAAAAAAGTGTCGCATTTCAAGGTTATGCTCTAGGATAAATTGAAGGGGGCCCAGTGCTCTGAAACTGTGAAAACTAACTTCTCACAAACCTCTTTCTTTAACCCTTCAACCGCAAAGAGAGACTGGCCTGTAGTATCTGCTTTTAATCAAATGTAAAAGTCGCGAGAGTAAATGATCACCAATTTACGAAGCTCCTGATTGTTAAACAAATTCTTCTTGTCATTCTACGTTCTAAAATATTGTTAACGCAACATAAACAATTACAAACTTGGCATTCTTCTCTCACCTGACATGCATTTCTTGGCCAGTTGTGAAGCATAGTAGATTGGAACATCGTGAAGCTCAGGATGATTTTGCCAATACTCATCTACAGGAATCCATTTACAAAATAGGATAATTTAGTATTATCAACTTAGTTGATAACGTAAATTAGCCACCGTAAAGTGTTTCAAAGCTAACGTTTCGAGCGTTAGCCCTTCGTCAGAGCGAAGCATTAGCCCTTTGTCATTCGTTCTGACGTCAGCTTTGAAACTCTTTACGATGGCCAATTTTCGTTATCAACTCAGTTTATAATACTAAATTACCCAGTTATACTCTTCTACCGACGCAGCACCAAGAAACATACCCCTTTTATTCATTTACAAACTACACTTAAGCAGTTATTACCAAATAAAAGAAAGTAAGCGTAGTTCCAATGGCGTTAAAAACGGCATTCTTAGGGTGCTGACATCTGATTATGGAGCATGAGTGTGAATTCCTTGAGTGCAAGATTATTAAATTTATAAGACAATTTGCTTTTATCAATTGAGTTGGCCAACGTAAAGATTTTCCAAAGCTAAGTTTCGAGCGCTAGCCCCTCGTCATAGCGATTGACAAAGGGCTAACACTCGAAAGGTCAGCTTTAGAGAGTCTCTTCGGAGGCCAACTTACGTTATCAACTCAATTGATACAACACAATTGTCTTGTAACGCCCCCAATCCCCCCTCCCCCCCCCAGCCCTACCGACCCAGCACCACAGTTTATTTAGAAAATTACCCCCTTATTCATTTGTAACGGTTGACCGTTATAAGTCTTCTTAAAGCTTCACTGTTACATCTTTTTTGAGCTTTATTAGCTTAGAAAAACACATTGAAGCTATCAGACAACTGAAACAACTCACACACAGAAAATATCCATATAGAACCCCCCCCCCGAAAAAAAAAAACCAACAAACAAACAAACAAACAAAACACTTCCAATAACTGTAAGTCCCTTCAAATTTACTCAGTTGGTATTTTTTTGCATTTTATGGCCAATCATTAAATGGGGTTTAGTCGTAGGGAAATTTACAAAATTATAACAAAGAATTGCAAAGAAAAACTGGACCTAACATACCAAGAATGAGAAGCAACTCTTGAGCTCGCCCCAAAGCAAAGACAGGAATCAAGCATCTTCCTCCACGGTTTACTATATCATGGACAGTACCTGAATAGATTCAAAACGATTGACAAAAGGGCCTACTTGCTTCAAATTACATAAAAATAGATCAATACTGTAGTTAAATTCAGTACTTGTACTTTGGTCTGTGATTTCAGCATTCTCTTGAATGATTTATCAAATGAATGAAATGTCATGTAATTAACTAGAGTGTTTAAATGTGAATGTAAGCCGTACTCATATCAAGCTGTTGGATCATCTCTCGATAAGAATTGAAGAGACTATCAACTAGAATAGTACTGCATTTTATGCAGAGAGACGTTGTGACAAATATGTGTCTACCTACACCTGTACATCTCAGGGTACAGAGGAATAAATCAACTACAGGAACAACTTGTTTCTGCTTTTCCTAGAGTCACTGTGTTGTATTCTTTGATGCAAAACTCTCCACCAACTTGGGTGAATAAAATGGATAATGGTGTGGTCGGGTGTATTTTCTTTTGGTATCAGTTTTAAGAACATACTTGTAAATCTGTTCTCTCTGTCTTCTCGCTTCTCATGAATGTGAGTACCATAAGTAGATTCCTAAAGTTGTTATTAGAAAATAAAAATTTGTCAAAATAAAGTAGAAAATTAAATACATTTGATCTCACGTTTTTAAAATGTTAATACTTTAAGCCATGGCTGTAAAACAAAGAATCTAAATTTCTACATGTACTCAATTTTATCACAGAAACCTTGTGCTTTAACCCTGTTACACCCTAACATCAAAATGTAATTCTTCATAGTGTTTCCCATACATTTCCTATGGTACTGAAAAGAAGAATTTGTCTTATAGTCAAGTGCCTCTTGAGTTTGTGATAATTTTCTTTATTCTCATGAACTTAATGTTTGATACAGTGGTGATAATGCTTGGAGATATTAGACACTTATCACTCTTAGGGGTTAAATGTTTAAAGTTTGAAGCCAAAATAATTTCGAAATACACTGCTGGATGCTCCAAATACACAACAAAAATTAATTAACAGACTGATGAGTTTAAATGATTGGTAGCTCACAATTATGAGAACATCAGGAGAAATGCTAGGGATCTCTGCTGCCATCAGATGACGATCTTCTTGTCGAGAGAAATCTCCTGTATAAAGAATCTGGAAAACAACAACAACATCAAAGAATGTTAAAAACATAGCAAACTAGGTGCAAAATTCAATGGATAATTATGAATAAATGCCAATAATTCATTCTAGAAAGTGCAGTAAGTATTATTAGTAAACAGTGCATTTGAGCCTCTGTGAACTGGCACCCTCAAACAAAGGCCAGCTACCCACAGACATATTTTCACATTTTCTGTAACATAGAAAGAGAGGCCACCTCTTTCCGACAGTAACAGTGATGAATATGTATCCCACTTAAAAATCTTAGTAACTGTGTAGTTTATGCTTAAGTTAAATTTGTTATAATGTTTCTTTTAATTAAAATACTCTAAAATGTACCTAGACACTCAATCAAATTGTAGATGTGGATATCAAGAAAAACTTGCACCTCAAGGACACTTTTTTCAGCCTGTAAGCCTCTATTCTTGTGCACAGGATAACCACTATGTAAGTGTTTGACAAAAAACTTTTAGAAGACTGTCCAAACCTTTACACCAGCAATTTCTATCATGAACATGGCTGCCCCAAGAACATGACCAGCATGGTAACACCAGAACTTAATCCCATTAACTTCTTTTTCCTAAAAGAGTAAAAAAAAGAAAAGATGAAGAAATACTACTTTGGATATCATAAGTTACAATTATGTAATGATAAAGCTGTAGATTGAAACAAACCTGATGGAAATGAATGGTTTCAATCTTGTCCATGCTCTTTTCCAGATCTGATTCAGTGTACAGCATGTCTTCTGTTGCAATGTTGCTAATTAAAAATAATGAACAGTAATGAAAATGACATGTGACAAACTGTTCTTCCCAGGTGCACTGCAATAGTAGTCATTGCAATACACTGAGTCTGAGAATTTGAAGGCTCCAATGAGGTTTCAACATCTATTCCCAGATAGTTGATGGGCACTACACTGTACTACCAACTAAACCATGAAGCCACTTGTTGCATGCCAGTAAATAACTTCTAAGGATAATTTTTTCAGAGATTTCTGAGTGTTTCCAACAAAGAGGGCAAATCTATGATGGGTTTTGCTAAACTAGGCCAGAGGTATCACACTAAGGACAAGTACATCCAGGAGTGAAACTGTCCTGTGTCTGTATAGTTTGTGGAAACAACTATATTTATATTACTTCAATGGAGTTACATATGCAGCTCATAAAAAAAGCTATAGAGCAGGAATGGAAGTCAAAGAGATCTGTGAAGAGCTTACTGGGACTGGCTGATGCAGAGGAGAATAATGTATTTAAAGAGTGTCCTCAAAAGGTGGATGCTCACTTTTGCACCAAACACAACAGGCTGTATAATGCATGAGCTGACACAGGTAGAAAGAGCTGAAACATAGCTGTTTAAGTAAGTAAGCCTGTCATTGCACCTTTGGTGAAAAATACTCTTGTTGCAGCTGGCTTGGAATAGCAATTAGTAATGTTCTAGTTAATATGTGAAGAAGAATCTCTATCCAAAGGCCTCCTTTGCTTGAAATGTATAATGATACTTACCTAACCTTGACATAATCTGAAAGAAGCCACCTAAAAAGGAAAGGAAAGAGAAAAACTCAAATTGCTTGCTAGAAAAATTTTTCCCAAGAATTCTGAAAGATTAATTGAAACAATAAAAGAATCTGCTAAAGAAAACAAATCTATAATCAAGTATTGGGTATTGTTATATTGCAAATAATGTTAGTAGTGCTAAAAAAATGGATATATAAAACAATAATAAAAATATATAAAAATTAATTAAAAAAATATATTAAAAAATAATTACAAATAAATAAAAAATGATGAACGATGTATGAAAAAGAAATTATTGAAAAAGAATTATGAGGCAGACTGGTGCCTATTTTGTTTGAAAGCTGGGCTCTGGATGCTATTTTCACTAAAATGGAGGGAAATAGTTAACAATCATTCCATGAGGGCACAAATGGTTATAAGATGGTAAATAGCCAACCAGGCTATATTATTTGGAGCCTTTTTTCAGCTCTGCAACAGATGGTGCTTTGCCCTTCCATATAAGGTGATTTGGAATAAGAGCTGATAACTGGAGTTGAGCGAACCAATCAGAACAGTTGAAATACAATAATCAGAGTTGAAAAATTCATAATGGTGGATATTTACCATGTTGAAAAATGGCTTGGTAAATATTCACCACTTTCATGGACACTGAGGCGAATAATGGTTTTAGTATGTACTACACAGAAGCCAAAAAGTTCTAGCTTTAAGCTTATAAGTTCATTTCTGTCAATATACTGAAAAATGGTTAGAAATTAAACTCTTAAGATATGATCTTGTCTCTTTGATGGCTTGGAGGTGTAACATACTTGCTAATCACCTGCACACCAGCCACTCGTGTAGTATATCCTAATATGCAATATTCATCTGTGTAATCTTAATCATGCAATGTACCTGTATATTGCTTTGGTTGCATGTGTCATAAACACCCTTCCCTTGAATGTTGTCTAAAAAGCAAAGAAAAAATCCTTTAAAGATTTAAATGACATGAACTATGAGTAAAAAAGCCATTTTAATTGAAGACAACCCTTTAATCCAAATGAGTGACTGGCATCTGATTTCTCCTAACAGTATCACTGATGAATCACATACTAAGGTCACAAGATTTGAGGAAATGATTGGCATCTAAAGATACCCTTGGCTTTTAAACCAATTCTCCATAGGAAATGTATAGAACAGTGCAGAGAATATGCATACTGATATCAGGGTATTAGGGGCAAACAGATTTCAGGGATAAGTGCTGAAGAAAAATTGTGTTGAAGAGCGTTGAACATTGTGCTGGAGTTCAAACAAGAACAAGGATGACTAAAATCTACTGAACTTTATCACTAAGTTTTCAACATAAAATTAAATGAACAGGTTGTTTCCACACATCACAATGTATCAGAACATTGTGGTGGTTGCTCACCTTTTCCAAAAACCAAGGAAGCGATCCACAATGATCTAGATGAAAGCTGGAAATGGATAACAACAAAATTTCTTGCACATAGGTTCAAAACTGATCTGAATACTTAGAGTACATAAAAAACACACCACAGAATATTGCTAATTAACCCCCTTCCCCACTACCTTTTCATGCATCCACTTTTCAAAAAAAAAACAAAAACAAAAAAAAACAAAAAAAAAAAACGAAACAAAAATACTCTGGCCCCTGGTAGTTATGAGTTTGTATAACACCATTCACTGGTCAGGATAAATCTCCAGTATCCAGGAGATACCGCAGTATTTTTCACCACTGGATAGCGTTTTATCTGTTGGACAGCATTTTCCCTCCTTTGTACAATATTTCATAGGATCAAGTTTGATGACTAGAATTTAATTGTCAGTATTAAGTATTAAATCAGGTGACTGAGCAAGGGTTTGTTGTGGTCAACTACTGTATAAGTTGATGATGATGAGTAAACTTCCATTATCACAAATTGGGTTTCTTTAATAACCACTTACTGACTGACAAGGAGAAGATCAATTTCTGCTGTATCAATTTCATCAAGAAAAGGTAGAGACTCCATTCCTGACATTCCAGGATGAATTCCACAGTCCAGCTAAAAGTGGGAAATGTTAAAGAGTTAAAAGGAGCTTGAGTGATTGGTGCAGTTGCATAAAATCTGTTGTTGCATCTCTTTTTTTGTTGAACTACTCAAAGGTTCCTCTCTTTCAAAATTGTTCGTATTTGTGCCTGCATAACCCTCAATGTCCACAAAAGAAAGTATCATTAACCCTGAGGACTCAGTGAATTGACATACAACAAGGGTAGGAGTTGTTACACAGCTAGAGGTGACAAGAACTGAAAAAATCATCAACCAAGCAATGATACAACACTACATTGTTAGGATAGGTCAAGACAGAAGAGTCAATAATTAAACCAAGTGCTTCTTGGACCAACTGGAGCTTATCTCAGCATGAAGTGACTAAAAGTATCATTGCTCCCTTCTGATGAGATGCTAGTCCATCACACAGTTCCCCCCTAGCATTTCGTCAGGCTTCCCTGACTATTATATAGTGTCAATATGCCTATGCCCAGTCCTACTCCTGTGCATAATAAGGCACTGTAAGAGTAAGGTATTTTGCTCATAAAACACAACACAATGACCCAGCCAGGTTTCAAACTCAGACCTCTTGGCACAGAGTCCAGTCTATTAATCATTAGGCTATTGGGTTTCCCACAGTCACGGCAAAAAATATAAGATTTTGAATCTTGCCAGTGAAAAGGTTCAGAACCTTGTAATACTCACCATCACTTTCTTTCCTTTGAATTCCAGGATGTGACATGACCGACCAACTTCTTGCCCAGCTCCCCTAAGTAAACATACCGGAAAATAATTCAATTTAAGATCTACGCCTAAAGTCTGAGAAGCCATCTCCGTCTCAGCAAACCATTGTAATAACAATGATGGCGTACGCAGAAATAATATTTTGCACCGTTAATCGACTGTTCATTTATTTACAGCGACACGTCCACCGGGATATCTGAGGTCACTGGTGAAAAAGGCCCACTAAATTGCGAGAATGGACGGTCAAATATGTCAAAAACGACCGAAATCGATTGCGATAGGTTACTAAAGAGTTTTTGTGGTCAGTACACGTGCAGACGCACGTTCTGATGCAGTTTACAACCAGCAACAGATCGGTATCCATCAAACACAAATGCGTTGACTTATTTACATAGTCACTTCAAGATTTGAGGTAAAAAGCAACTTACAGTGGCGTTATTCTGAGCAAATCACTTTCTTCTGGCGGCACAACAGATTCCGGTTTTCTCTTCACTGCCGCCGCCATTTTGAAACTGACAGCTAGAGTCCGCGATCAGCGCAGACGTTATGTGGTGTAAAAATCATGCAATGTATCAAAATAGTTTTTTCCATCGGCCACTGTAAGGATTTTTAAGAGCTGACATTTCCAGTATCCTTCGAAACGAGAGAAATTTACACTTTCACCTCAGTCAATAAACCACATTATCTTGCAACCCCTCCCCTCCCTGAAGTAGAACCACTGTTAATACCCCCTCTATTCCTTTATGATCTTTAGACGTGATAGTAGGCACGCACAGCGTGCTTACTGATGACTTGAATGGGAAACACGAGATTATAAACTATTTATAATCTCTTGGGGAAACGGGCAGGTGTCAAAATTGTTAATACAATGGAAAAAATTGCAATAATTGACCTTTTCATCTTTTAAAAAATGTTTCAGGCCAACAAAGGGAAACACGATCGGTCGGTTATCTTCAAATAGTAGTCCTTCCACTGTTTTCTTCCTGGATCTATAACTCGTTTTATTTCGTGTCGTTCGAAAGCTATGTTACGTTATATGGTTGCTACAGCTGCAAGTTCAGCGGTAAATTGGACCCACATAGAAGAAACTATTTTTTGTTTTTCATTGGTTTTGGAGCAAAAAGACTCAGTTTTGAGTTGTAGAAAAATGACTTCTACATTTATTTCACGCGCTGAACGAACTATGATATGATTTTAGCTGAAAAGAAACCGATGTTATAAGAAGGAAACCGCAAGGATAAGAAAGGCACAGCGGTGACGGGGAGAGCTGGTCGTAGTAGGGGCGAACCTGTTGAGGGCGAACTTGCAATGAGGCGAAACCTTTATAACCCATAAAAAAAATATGAGAGCTCAGGCTGAGGAATACATTTGTATCCTCGATCTTTATCAATAGCCTAACTCCTACAGCTCCTAGCTTCTAAGAGGGTTATATATTTAAGCATATATATCCACCACACTTATACAAGAAAAATCTAACCCTTCTCAAGAACAAGAAGTTACTTCATGTTCTAGGCTCGCCACAAACGATTATCCCTTAAACATAAATTGTGTCTATCATCTTATTTCTCCTTACAGTATCACTCATTAATTGAAAAATAAGTTTTCGAGAATAAAGGAAATGATCAGCAACCAAAAAAGCTTTCGATTTGTTAAGCACGCAATTATCCTTGTCTGTGCCATAAAAAATGCAAAGAGAATAGTAAGGAGAAGGTACATTTTAATGACAGAATGTGAAGGATTTATGAAGGGTATTTTGGTTGGGACTGTGCTTAGCGTGTTACGAACATTTGAATGAATTCCAACCGCCACGTTCCTTGACCTGCGGTTCTTAAAAAATTCTGAAAAATTAGAGCGATTATCTATCCTCTAAAGCTAGTATTTTTCCTATCTTTAAGAGCTAGGAAAATAAGCGGAGCTTACAAATGCAAGCCGATTCAGATCTTTTATGGAGTACTTAGACAGACATATGAAATTGTATATAAATCATTTAATCATAACCATTACAATTTCCTCAACTGTGATCGGTGCATCAGCTGCTTTATATTTCACTTATCACTGTGTACAGTTGTAATCGGACAGTGTAATCGGACTCCTGTAATCGGAAAGTTAAAGCAGCCAATCGTACCATTCAGCTAAACCACCAATCACAGAATTGATCATAATAACCATAGCAACAATCACTTAGCCTGGAACCTGGGAGTTATCAAAATTTTTTGCTTTAGACATTGTCCCAACTGGAGATGTTTGTCCTAAATGTTTTTTTTTCCGGAAATTGTAATGGTTATGATTGATTAATAGCAGGACTATTTTGCCAGTCGAAGATTAACTCAGTCCACGGTTCTAAACAGCTCCTTTATTGAATCATCGCTTGGAGTAGTCGCGTTCAAAATCCAGTGGTGTCTCACAGTTCTTCTGACTAGCAAGTCGTAATGCAGTGAATTCCGTTTATGACGTCATCACGTTATGCGATTAGTATTAATTAATTGAAAATTGTGGCCTTAATTAGCTAGCGCAGTAGATAACATATTAAGCAATACAATTCGTGGCGTGCAATTCTGTCAGTAATCATACTCGCGATTGACAAATCGGACTCCCGCTTCGTGGTCGTCCGATTTTGTTTATCACTCGTATGATTACTGACAGAATAGGACGACACGAAGTCCTGTTACCATCATTAATCTTTATAACAGAAGACTAAGGAGAGACATTTTCTATAATCTTATCGCAACAAAACTCTTCTGCAAGAAGTTTACATTGCACAAAATTGTGACACAAGGCATCGTACAAAACTTCGTAAAAGGCATCCAAGCCTTCTTTTTGTTTCCAAGCCAGTAACATTTCAAAAGCTTTGTCTGCCAGCTTCCTATTGCCGTGATCAAAGTTAATTATTGCGGCTTCGTCGAATCCCAGGCGTCTTCCTAATTTCTTCCAATTTTCTCCAAGTTTTAGAGACAGCCCTTCCAACTCCTCGACCAGCCTTGACCGGAGCTGAGGATAAGTAATGGTAATTGGACTGAGTGGAGTTCAACTCGGACTGTAATCATACGAGTGATGACAAAATCGGACGAACGCGCAGCGGGAGTCCGATTTGTTTATCACGAGTATGATTTCAGACCGAATTGAATGCCATGAAGTCTTACTACTAATTAATCGAACAATTTGCATTAAAAAGACTCACAAAGGAGGCTTAAATTGTTTAATGTCGCTCTGTTTCCATGGTGATTGAGTCTCTCCTCTCGATTTCAGTATAATGTAATAAGAATAACTTTTGCTGAATTCGATGCTGCTTTAAGGAAATGAATTAAAGACGAAAATCAAACAAAGCGTTGACAGAGTTAATAGGCGTTACTGTTGAGTTCAATTAGTGAACATGGGAATTACCCTATAATTCCCTTTAGATTTATCATCTACGGAATTAACAAGATTTTTTTGGTAAAATACCTTGAGTAGCACGCGGTTCACTACTACTGGATCGTGTGGATCGCCGTCCTCTTCGATTTGAAGGTTCCTGCGGTGCACCTTGTACAAAAGAATCTCCTGAAAGACGAGAATGGATTAGATTAACTCTCTAACCACCTTCATTGTTCCTTCTTTTCTCCCTCCACTCCTCCTTTCCTTGCTACTTCTCTCCCTACGATTCCTCTGCCCTTCTTTCTGTCCTCCTCCACTCCTTCTTATTTTCTTCCCTCCTTCCATCCATCCCTTTGTCCTTGTCTCCAATCTTCCTCCACCCTCCCAACCTTCCTCCTTCTCTTACTCTCTCCCTTCATCCATCCCATACCTCCCTCTCCTCCTTTCAATTTCTCGTTTTTCTCTTCCTCCTCTCCTCTCTCTCTTCGTCCTTCTCTTTCCCCCTCCTCCCCTCTCGCTACCCGGCATCATTTGCAATTTATACTCTGGTTAAAGAATTGTGCTTTTTAGCCATGATAGTTGCTACTATGGGCCACGAACACAAAATATTTGGACAAATTTTGAAATTAATTTGTTCCACGTTACTTAACAAAACTCTTGAGCAGGCATTTTCTTACAACAGTGTACTTAAAAATTAAACATTATTACCTGCTGTCGCTTTGTTTCTTTTAGGGTCTGAACCGGAAGGAGAAGATGACGACCGTCGTCTCTTTCGAGGAGAACCATCTTCAGCATCCGAATTGTCTGTATAAAATGACAAGAAATCGTACCTACAGTTAAACATATTGCATTTCGTGAAACACAAGATAATTAAAAGGCTCAAAAAGGCCACTTTCAGTTATCCTCTTAACTAGAATAGATCAAAGGAGCACCAAAGTATGGGTTCATTGTCGGAGAAGAGTTAAACCGCATCTTTTATGCATAAAAACTGACAAAAACCGTCTCTGTACCAATAGGTTGGCTCCTGCACAGGCAGCCCAAGCGTACTGTGTGTGTGATTTTGGGGTTTAAAGGTGATTAACAGGAACATCTAATATCTATCAACCCAACTTCTCACAAAGCTACGACTATCAAGACATTGACAAGACGAGCGCAACTTGTTTGCAACACACCGGACAGTTTATCTGACGAAAACAAGTACCTTGACCGTGTTTTTGACAAAAACAACTACAACACTGACTTCATTAGACGAAACACTCATAGGGCGACCGACACTACAGAAACTAACAGGGAATCCACATCTATCACGACTACAGCTTCTATACCCTACATCAAAGGCACTTCTGATGCTATCGCGCGGATCCTACAACCTTACAACATTGGCGTAGCTCACAGGCCTATTACTACTTTACGACATTTGCAGACCAACGTTAAAGACAAAGACGAACCCAACAACAGACAGGGAGCGATTTATAAGATCGAATGCTCCGACTGCCAGGCCTCCTACATTGGTGAGACTGGTAGAAACCTTAACACGCTACTAACTGAACACAAACGAGCAACTAGAAATGGCGATGTAAACAATCACATTTCTGAACATCACCGACAAACTAATCACAGAATTGACTGGGACTCTGCTATATGCTTAACCTACAGTACAAACTATTTTCAGCGACTAACTCTGGAAAGCTGGTTGACTAACTTAGAACAGAAGCCTCTCAACAAATTTCAACAGTTACCAGCACCTTACAAACGACTCATTAACGACGTGAACAAACCGACAAACAGACCGACAAACAACAGACGGATCGAAACCGACCAATGACTGTTAACAAACTCTACACGAGTCTTCCAGCCAATCACATCACGGCTAAACAGACCAATCACGTTCAACAGACCAGAATTTATAACATCATCGACTGACAACTACTCTTCACTTGACTCTGAAGATGACTACCGCACAGATAGTCGAAACGTCAGTCACCAACAACAGTTCTTTTCAGAACTACACTCACCCGGACGATCACACTACACGAACTACTGATACTCCTGGTTTCAAACCATTTACTTTAATATCTAATAAATTAAATGAAACTCAAGCGTGTCCTATAAAAAAATGATAATGATAATAAACGTGCAAATGACAGTAGAAGCTATAAAATAGTGCACAACACGCAGTACTAAGAATTTCGACTAATAGCGTTAAAATGGCCGGAAGCGACAAAGCGGCCACGGAATAAAGGTAAGGAGACTTTTTGTATATTTTTAAATTTTTTTATCATCATTCTTTTTTTTACGGCACACACTAACGCTTACAAAATCAATCTTAATTTATCAGGTATTCCTGTTAATGATATTTAAACCCCAAAATC